TTCAACTTATCATTGCACCAGGTCTGATATAATTTTTGCACGTAAGACCCTTCCTTTTTGTTGACAAGCGTTTTACTTGGTGGTTGAGGTGATAGGAATTCAGGCAAATTCTAGCAGAGGCGGCGGCAGGGAATATTTTTGAGTGCTGGGCTACTCACGTGAAAAATACTGCTGTGCTGTTGGGAAGGGCACGGCGTGCCGCGAAAATAAACTGCATGTTGTCTTCGAATTCAGAAGAGCTGGATTTCATATTTACCGATATCTATTTTGGCCAGCAGAACATTACCACAACCGCGTGAGAAATCTCGCGCCATTTTTCCTAGTAATACGTAAATATGCACAGCTGATAAACCAATCAGAGCGCAGGTTTTCGGCGGTGAGTGGCGGAAAATGTGTGTTACCAGCGGTTTTAAGGTAGAATTTGCTGGCTTTTCCTTACATCTAGAGAAAATACACTAGAATTTCAGCATTATTTTTTTGGGGGGGGAGGGGGCGAGAGACGTCGACCGAGCGCGTAACTTTGTCTTCTCCTTTCCAACTACAGTACCGTTGAGAGGTTGAGAGAATAATGGCGACCAAACTGAAGTCAGCGAGTGGAGGCAGCAATGGCGCACCAAGGGAGTCGAACATCCAGGTTATGGTTCGAGTAAGGTACGGACAAACACTGATTCCTGTTAGATTTTAATTTCCTCTAGTGGAGGCAATTTATTTCCCACAACTTGATGTCAACCGCGTTTTGGTGCATGGCAGTCCACTCGGTAACCGTGAGCGGTCGTAGGGGCATCATGACAGCCAGCAGCATGTCTGAACTTGAATTTTTACCTGAATTTACCTGAACTGCAGAGATATCGTCTTGTCTCCGCAGTCAGGAGCTTGATGGCGGGTAGCCTCTGGTCGCTCCTGCGTCTAATACGGTCTTGATGTGTAGGTCTATGCTACTCTTGAACCCGTTCACACTGGTTTGCTCGGCACAACTTCTTGGGGTAGTTGGTTCCCGGTGCAGAGATTGTTCGTACTGCAAATGACTTTTTCCGGATTTCTAGTCTTGTTTTAGGTATTTTTAGTCTCAAACTGTGGCCTCTTGTATTGTAGGGGGTGTCAAGCGGTTGGAAAAGTATGTCCTTGTCGATACCCTCTAGTCCCTTTACAATTTTGAATTTTGAATTTTGAATACTTCCAGCATGTCCCCTCGGAATCTTCTGATTGCGAGGCTTGTTAGTCCCATTTTCTTGAGTCCTTGTGTGTAAGGCAGTTCTTGCAGTACTTGCCATGATGTTTCTGTAGGCTTGTAATCTTTCTGAAATAAAGAAATGAATTTGATGGTATGCATCATATTTTTACATTTTCAGACCATTGAACCAGACCGAAAAGAGCAAAGGTTCTCACAGTATAGTGGACGTCAAAAACAACAGGGAGGTGTGTGTGGCCACCAAGGAACGTGGATTCGGTGGACACAACACAAAGAAGTTTTCTTTTGACAGGGTTTGTCAATTTCTATTTGTTATCATGGTAGTCCTTCGTAGCTAACATCATTAACTTTAACATTTAACTTTTGATAAACCTACTCTGAGTAATCTCACAGCCGCATATATCCATACAATCACTACTAAGCGAGACGAAGCCGAAAAGAATAGAAATTAGACATTTATTTACACTCCTATATGTTCATATGTATGTAATGTATATATGTTTATGTTCATGTTCTGTACCTATGCGACCTGTACTTAGTTCTGTAGAACACAAATGTATAATAAAGGTCTTCATTCATTCTATTAACACGCAGATAATTTATTTGAAGACTACTAGTATTCAAATCATCGGTAGGCAAATCAGGCAACTGCAATGCGTTTTGCCTACCACTCGTTGACCATCAGGTAGTCTGCATACCTAAACCCACATTTAGGTTCAGGTCTGGATTCAAGTCCAGAGGTTTAGGTTCAGTTCCGGTATTGTAAGTCCGGACCTAAACCCATGGCATATACAAAATTGCATGTTGGCAACCTTGCAATGTTGTCTGGGTGAAACTTTGGTCTTGAACCTAAACATTATTACAAGTCCGGATCCAAGTCCAGTGAACCGGTATGCAGCCCTACATACTTGTATGACATTCTTATTAGAACAGATGCCATGGTAGTCTACAAACAGTCTACTAAAATAATTTGATGTCAATATGTTAAAAACACCTGTCAGTCTGTATTCTTCATAATAAATGTTGAAGCATTTGGTGGGCAAACAATGTTGTATCGTTTTGCTTCAGAACCTTGCCACAACAAAACAGGACAGTGCTGAGAAGGAGTACTTGGTCCAGCAGCACGTTACGACCGAAGGAAAGCTGTACAACCAGGCGTCACTGGTAAGGACAGCTGCTGTTCCACCAAAGGAATCTGTATCTAAGCTGATTTTGTATGCAAGCAGCAATCTTTTTTTACTTCCAGGTACAGACATATTGTTATAGGTGGGTTATTTGTGTGTTTGTGTGTTTCTCTGGACAGACTACAGGGCTTTGGTGCACCTATTCCCAAAAATGAATTTCTAGCCTAGTTTGACAGCATGTGCGTGGGGAAGGATCCTTACAGAAAACACAAACCTTTTTGTTTAAAGTTAAAACTTTTGATCCAACACGAAAATTCTCTCACCTAGAGCTTTCAACCAGTCACTCTGGTCTTCCTCAGTAGACTGACCCAGTGAAGCTTGTCACGTGGTTTCTTTGAAGTGTGACGTCAACACTGGGTCAAAGGTATCTGGTAGACGATGTCGGCCCCCGTCGCGGTTCAATGTAGGGTGATGGGCCCTGATGTAAATGGCTTCCTTCACCCCTCTCAAGAAATAGTCTTGTTCAGTGTCTAAAATCCTTACAGTGTCAAGTGAGACATGGTGTCCGGGTGACTCTATGTGAATGTGTTGAGACACCTCTGAACTGGCAGAACTAGGCCGTGTATGTTCCTGAAACCTGGCTTTTAGAGACCTCTCCTTTTCACCAATAGAAGTGTGGTGTCATCTACCACATCCCCTGCCAGGGCAAGAATAACAGGGGGCCCTGCCAGGAAACTTATATTGGTGAAACGGAGAGGTCTCTAAAAGCCAGGTTTCAGGAACATACACGGCCTAGTTCTGCCAGTTCAGAGGTGTCTCAACACATTCACATAGAGTCACCCGGACACCATGTCTCACTTGACACTGTAAGGATTTTAGACACTGAACAAGACTATTTCTTGAGAGGGGTGAAGGAAGCCATTTACATCAGGGCCCATCACCCTACATTGAACCGCGACGGGGGCCGACATCGTCTACCAGATACCTTTGACCCAGTGTTGACGTCACACTTCAAAGAAGCCACGTGACAAGCTTCACTGGGTCAGTCTACTGAGGAAGACCAGAGTGACTGGTCCAAAGCTCTAGGTGAGAGAATTTTCGTGTTGGATCAAAAGTTTTAACTTTAAACATGTAACTACCAACACAGATGAACTTTCATGACAAACCTTTTTATTTTGGCACAGTTGCTTGAGACGGCAGACAGCAGTCTTGGTGATGTTGAGGGTTTGCACAAGAAGCTGGACAGAAAGAAACACATAGAGACCCTCAACAAGGTGTGCCAACACTACTTCCAGAAGGGATTCCAGGCCAGCCTCACGGAGATGCAGCATCACGTGGAGGAAAACGCCAACGCTCAGTTGAACACGTGCACCAGCCTTATGTCAGATCTAGGTAAAGCACGGTGGTCTGGTTACTATGCAAAAATCCCCATTGCTATGTGAATAGGCCCCGCCCACTAAGTGTCTGGCCGGCATGCCTCCATAACACCCAGCAGCGGGCCCGAATATTTCTAAAAAAACTCACGACCGGGCAATCCTACAGAAAAACTAAAATAGGAACCTAAAAAATCGATATGTTGGTTATGAAACTAGGTTAAAATAAAGAAGTGACAAGCTGACATGGAGCTTCACTGTGCCAACACGCGGCCCATGTGTAAATGTCATTTTCGGTCGTTGACCTTTTACCTTCAAAACTCATTTTTTTAATTTGTGTGTAAAACAACACCTAAAGGTATTATCTAAAGATCTGCCTTTGGAAATTTCGCTACGTTCTCAGGTTTTGGCTGTCTAGAAGATTTTAACTTATTTTTCAAAATTTTTGGTACATTTTCTCCCATATTCCCTTTCGGCGAGAACGTACGCGAATTTCCAAAAGACAAAATGGCGGCGGCGTTGTAACCTTTACGGTCGTCTTGGTTTGATCAAATTCTATTTTGACAAACTTCAGATATTTCTCAAAATATGAAATGTACATTTTCCACATGGGATTGTTGAAATGTTTTGGAGTTATAATGAGGAGAAGAGAGGGCATTTTTAGCGCCCTTTTGTTCAAAAAACAAACATATTCAAATTCGTTGCCCAAGCGGCCATTGTATTCGCTGAGCTCCCCAAGCGTGATAATTGCCCGGGATTTTCAAATCTGCGAACGAGGTACACATTTTTCCCAGTTTTTGTTCTGTCCAGCCAAGGCAAGAAGGTTTAGAANACTTCAGATTGTGTAGTAACTTGTTGCGGCATTATTCAAGCCGAAACTTCTCATGTTTCGTCCTTGGTTCTGCCGAAGTATTGCCGATCTCGGAAACAACGTCCAGAACAAATAAAGAGATAAGTACAGAATACGTGTTAACTCGCGGGGATGTCTAAAATAATAAGATCTAAACGAGTTGCGTTCAAGAAACACTGGCGTTCATGCGCTAATTTACAAAAATACGGAAACCAAGATGGCGCTGACAAAATCAAAACAACAACAGAGAGTGGAAAGATCGACGTCAGCAGTGTTAAAAAATAGCACTCCTAATGTAACGTTTGTTACTTTGTATCAAGGGTTATATTTTCAAACAACAAGATCACTTTTAAAGTAACGAGCCGGGGTTTATTTTATATTTTGTAGAAGAGGGTATAAGGGCGGCTTTTTTTAGTAACATGTAGTCTAAATCTCATCGAGGATTTTGGCTTATCGGCGTTCTTCGAATTCTTGCCCGATCTTGGCCGGTCAAGGGTAACCTAGTGGCCGCCACTATCTGAGTAATTTTACGTTTTGATCGCAACTGAATTACACAGAGTTAGAAACGATATTGTTCTGTGTGTGTGTACCAGGCCAGAAAATGATCATAGCTTGAGCTTGTACCCACGCTATGTATTGTTAGAATGTGTGAAATGAGAACAATAGGGGATCTGGAGAAGTGCGCATATGAATAGAACAGTTGGCGGGAAGAATTTGCAGGGGGGCAAACAGCAAGGTAAACATTTCTAGAGCCGGCCCACGAAAGTGTCAACCAATCATGGACAGTTGCCAATGGTGACAAGTGTAATTGACATCTAATTTTCATTAATATTAATTAGCCACGAGTGGTGATTTTTGAGGCCGTTTTAGACCACCGTGAAGCAAAGTCTCCAGTACAGTTGGTGTTCATTAGTGATGCATACCTAAACTCAATTTTAGGTTCAGGTCCGGATTCAAGTCCAGAGGTTTAGGTTCAGTTCCAGACTCGTAAGTCCGGACCTAAACCCATGGCATATACAAAATTGCATGTTAGCAACCTTGCAATGTTGTCTGGGTGAAACTTTGGTCACATAACATGGAGGCCAGTACTTGGCGATGCCCGATGGCAATGTTTTCTTCATTTTGCAGCAAAGATTTTGCAATCTACGGAAGGTTTTAGGTGGTTTGGAAAGAAAAGGGGTATGTGAAATGGTCTTTTATGGTAATAAGTCCGGACTCGGTTCTTGACTTTTAGGTTTTTTTGGACTTGAACCTAAACATTTTTACAAGTCCGGATCCAAGTCCAGTGAACCGATATGCATCACTAGTGTTCATACGCTATTACTTACAGGTACAGAAGTATTGTTTTGGGTGGCCTAGCTGTGGCTTTTATATCTGCTTATCCAGACAGTGTAGGTCCTTAGCACATTACGTTCCCAGCATGTCAATGGGGAAGATTGACAGGTCAGAGACACAAGAAATGGGTGAACTTGAGACAGCGAAACCTAAGAACAACAGTGGAAAGAGGATGTTTACCTACAGATGTGTAAAACTGTGGAATGCACTACCAAATGAGGTTAAGGCTGTATCCGATGAGAGGCAGTTGAAGAGATTGATCGATCAATTGTATGCAACTTAATGGTTTTAATTATAATGATAGTTTTTATATTGAATTTTTTTAGTAATGGTAATATTAGTTTTATACTTAGCCGATAATATGCTCGTTTAATGATTTTAGCTATGATTAGTACCTTGTCTGACCTGTGACCTCATGTATGTAAATTTGTAGTCATATGTGTATATTTGTACTGTGTGTGTAATGTGTAATAATGTGTATTGAGCCCTGGAAGATTAGCCCTAACGGGCTAAAGGGTATCGTAATAAACTGAAACTGAACTGAACAGCGTTGACTGCACATGGGTTCAGGAAAGTTTGACAGATAGATTGACAGGAGGTCAAAACGTCAGAAATAGGGTGAATTTGAAGGTCACAAAAACCTTTACTGTACATGTGTATGTTGATGTAACATAGAATATTGTTTGTACCTGGAACTCACAGGAAAGTGCCTGACCAATCAGACGCACGACGTGAACAGCCAGTTGACCAAGATGGTGGACACCCTGAGACAGGGCCTGGTGGACATCACGGCTACACAGCAGCAGGAGAACTGGAAGGACTGGGCAGCAGGCACTAAAGCTGCTGTCTCCAAGTACAAGGTTAGATGACACTACAATTATGGCGGTTATACCGGCTATACAGATACAGATACAGATACAGAATTAATTATGCACTTTCCTTGCATCCAAAA